ATATATATATGTATATATATATATATATATATATATATATATATATATTGGTATCTATACAATTTAGGGAAATGTATACCTATGTTGCTTTCTTATCAATAAACTCTAATTTTTTGAAATAAATCTTATTATATTCAATTTTGATGGTGCTCTTAAGGTAAAAAGGTACTTTTCTTATCTTTTAATTTTTTTTTATATCATTAAACACTTGTCAGATTTGTGAATTATTTGACATGTGTAAAAATAAGACTAGATATAGGAATTGGAGAAAAAAAATAAAGAACTTTATACATAAAAAAAATCTTGGTTAAAAAGGGTCTTTCAATAAGATTACAAAATAAATTAGAGAATTTTTGAGAAATATCCCCTTTTCAAAAAATCCCCTACTTTTCTATTCAATTTCAAAATACCCCTTTCCAAATATGAAAAATTATAAAATTTTATATAGTTTATAAGGTACATCTAGCTCATTATTATTACTAGGAGACTCGATCCAAATATTTATAAGGTTTTAAGAGGTTCTAAAATGCTTTTATAAGGTTTTTACAAAGTTTACAAAAAATTATCAAGTTTTTATAAGGTTTTCAGAAGATATTTGTACGGTATTTAAAGATAATTTTTGTCTATATATATAATTTTTCACATATGATTTTTGATAAATTTCAAACTTCTAGTGGCTTTTTGATAAACTTTTAAAGAGTGGGTATTTTTAAAAAGTGGTATTGGAAAAGGAGTATTTTAAAAATTTCCCCAATAAATTATCGTTCTTGTAAAATTACAAGTTTATGTCATTAAACAAATGTCAAAATTTTGAAGCATTTGACATGTGTAAAAAGAAGTCTATATAAAGGAATCAAAGAAAAATTAAAGAAAAAGTATTGCACAGATTTCAAAAATTAAAGAAAAGTATTGTAAAACTTAAAGAAAAATATTAAATAAATAACCAATCAAAATAAACATAGAAGATTTGATATCTAACTTATCATATTAATTTGTTATTAATTATTATATTTCACCTTTAATTATCATACAGTTATATTATTATGAAACAAATAACTCATCATATCATTCATATAATAATAAAAATGTAGTTTTGCCCCGCATATGCCATGATTTAAATATTATAAACGAAAAAAGCTGTAACAGGTTAAAAATTCAAACTTGAGTAATATATTTATTTTAAGAAAAAATATATGCAACAAAATTTTTGACTAAGTAATGGGACATAATTTAAATAAAGTATATAACTTCAATTATTTTAATTTAGACCAAATATAGTCTAATTTGATATTTTATTCAAAATTTCATAAAAATCTTAGATAAGAAAATGTATAAATTATACATACTCTATTTTCAAACATATATTTAGTTTAGGCGACGAGTTAACTAAAATGTCTTATATGATCAATGAGTTATAATCCTTATAACAGACAACAATCTACTATATTATTTTTGCAAGCATTTTATGGAGAAAATTTAATGCACTTTTATTGCCAAAATTTTAAATTTTTTCTTTAAAATAATATTATGTCGGATGAAAGTTTCAAACCCGTGTTGTATTGAAACAAATGAAATTCTTTTACCACTAGACTATATCAATATATTTGTATTATCATGTAGACATATCTTTGAAAACAGGTTAAAATTATTATGTAAAATAAAAATAAAAGCAATTATTACAAATTTTGTTTGTTTAAAAATAAAAATTATACACGGGTTGTATAACGAGACGGGTGTGAATCGCTATGAATAAAAATATCAAAATATCATTAACCTTATTCTTTAAAACGGGTAAAATTTCATTATACTATTTTTAACAACACCTACATAAGAATGTCGAATCAAAACAGATTTAATTAAGTTTGATATTATGCAATCTTAATAAGTCCTAAAAACAAAGCAGCATAATAAAAAAATTAGTCTTTAAAATAAAATAAAATTCAAAAGTTTTTGGCCCGGGTTAAAATTTAGTAATAACTATAATTGTAAAAATAAAATTACGATATATATACACTAACTAACATATTAAATTTTTAAAATGTAAAATATATAAAATTTTGTATAAAATAAAAAAATTAGAATCCTACTGATCTAATTGGGAGACAAGCGTTGAGTTTTTTTTTGACTGTTGAGATTGGTTTAGCAGCTTATCATAATTTTCAATTTGTAATTTCCTAATACGGTTATACCGGTCCAACAGGCCGGTTTAAAAACATCTCAGCGAGCAATTTGGTATATCTCTTTAATCAAACAAATAAAAGAAAATTAAAAAAAAGTTCGATTTCAAATTTTGAATCCTCGTAACGGCCAAATCTTCAATAACTTCTCCTATATCCTTCTTCGTCTTCTTCCTTCTCTGTTTCTTCCAAACTCACAAAAGCTCTCACTCAACAATGGCGTCACTAGCTCCCGGAATCCTCTTAAAACTCCTTCAATGTATGAACTCCGGCACTCGTCCCACCGGAGACCACAGATCCGCCACATTACAAGTCACCGGAATCGTCCCAGCTCTCGCCGGCTCCGATCTATGGCCAAATCAAGGCTTCTACGTTCAAATCTCAGATTCTCTCAACTCCACTTACGTCTCTCTCTCCGAACGAGATACAGATCTAATCCTCAGTAACCGTCTTCAGCTAGGTCAGTTTATTTACATAGAACGACTCGAATTCGCTACTCCGGTACCACGCGCCGCCGGAATTCGTCCCGTCGCTGGTCGTCATGCTTTCGTCGGAACTCCGGAGCCGTTAATCGCAAGAGTATCTAACGGATCAAAACGAGATTTCGTTATTCAGCCTGTTTCGGACTCTGAGTACTCTCTTGATCCTATCGCTGTTTACTTAAACAATAGAAGATCCGACGACGACGACGGTGGTGACGGAGATGTTTCGAAACCTAATGTAAGGCAAGCGCTTGCTCCGGTGAACCAAAACGACGAGAATCGTGAGAAAATTCGAAATCAGAAACCTAAAACGACGCCGCAGAGATTCTCATCACCAGCTTCGTCTAAACGGTCAGTCTCATTGGTGAAGAAGAATAGTTCTGGTGCGGCGGTGGTGGAGAGAGATCCGTCGCCGGCGGTTTCTGGGAAAGGGAGGAGATCTGCTTCTCCGGTTCCGTCGAAATGTGTGGTGCCGAGTCTTGCGGCGGCGCGTGAGGAGCAGAGAAAAGTTGCTAGAGAGCCGGCGATTGTTGTACCGTCTAGGTATAGACAACCTTCACCTACTGGGAGGAAGATGAATCCATCTCCTAGTGGAAGAAGAATGTCGATTTCTCCTGGACGAAGGCTTTCTAGTGGTTTGAAGATGATGTCTCCTATGGTTGGAGACTCTTCAGGGAAGAAGAAGATGGCGGCTTTTGCTGCAGGAATCTCGAAAGTTTCAGAAGCTTTGGCCGGTTCTTCGGGCAAGAATGGTAATCGGAAGAACTGGGATGAAGCTGAAGGAAATGGTCAAATTGAGCATAAGGAGAAGAGTAGTCTCAAGAATAAGCCTGATCATCAAGCAATTTTGCGTACTCAGGTAACAAAAGAACTCAGATTTCTCAGTTAGATATAGCAAATCTCATATTGGAGATTATTGTTTGGTTGAAGCTTTGTTTAATTGGATGATCAAATTAGTGTTTTGGTGAATGATTTGGTATGTGTGATGGTCTAATATTGATAATGTACAATTGTATTAGGCTGCTATGACGAGGCGACTAAGTGATGCGAATAGGCGAAAGAGTGATTCTTCATCTTCGGCGTGTGAAGAGAAAGCGAAGTCGTGTTCATCAGAGACTAATTTACTAGAAGAAGTCTCAGCCTTTGAAGGAGTTGGTATCACATATCATGAAAGGAAATGGACTGATGGTAGTGTTCCATTGGATAGCATTTCAGAGGAACTTGCAAAACTTGGAAAGGTGTGAGGCAATGTTTAGTGTTGGAGCTTACATTGACTTAACAACACTTGAGTGATTGATCCTTGTCTCTAATCATGTGATCGTGTATTGAATTTTTAGGAGGCTATGCAAAGAAGAGACTTTGCTGCTAGAGCTGCAGCTCGAGCTTTGGAGGAAGCCAATGCAAATGAGTGCATTATACGATGCTTAAGGTAAAACATTTAAAGCTTTCGCAATTAGTCTTGTTACTTTTATAAGTCTGGTCTTTGACACCTTGTCTTGGTTGAATACATCAGTAAATTCTCGGAACTTTCTTCGGCTTCCAAAGTGGAGAATCCGTTGCGAATCATCAACCAGTTTTTAACAATCTATGAAGATGTCATGAAATACAGTAAGATAGCCTCAGAAGACAGTTTCAGCTCGTCATCCGATCAACAAAACCCAATCTCTCTTTGGGTTGAAGCTGCATTAGCTACTAACCTTGGTGTGGTGTCACTAGTGAAAAGCCAGAACAGCCACGACTCACCATCGTCTCTGAAGAAATCAATGCCTACTCGTCTCTCTCCTGGACCAACCTCTATGAAGACAGGTTTGTTCCATATCAAATGGCTTACATATCAATATGCAGAGTTCTAAGTTTATTAATTAGCATTTGTTGGTGTTTCAGACAATATTGTTGGGATGTGGACAGACATAGATGGTATGAAGGAAACCGCAAAATTCGCAGTGAACCTACAGTCCGAAATGCAATTATGGTTCATTAAGTTCGTGGAAGAATCATTAGACAACAAAAACGCAGCGAAGCGATCTTTAGATGGTAGTTCCATAGCTGCTGTACTGTCTCAGCTGAAACAAGTGAACGAATGGTTGGACCGGGTCGTGTCGAACCAGGAAAACCAAATCACAACAATGGCTTTAACAGACAAGATCGAGCGGCTGAAACACAAAATCTATGGATTTGTTATCCACCACGTCGGATCTACATATGACAACTCTGCTTCTTGATTTCATCTTTTGCTTTTAGTGTCTTCAATGTTCTCACGCACGTTTCCATGCTCTGTAATACTATGGCTCATGTTTTTAAAGATAATTTATCAACTGCCCGAGAAGAATTTAGGTGAAAACCAATTTATTGAATAGTTTTTACAGTAACAGGCTTCTTCATCACTTCTTACTTTTGTCCACACACTTTAAACAGAGAAAAGTACAATGAGAATCAGACTTTTAACTCTTCCACTTCTGGACCAAGTGGTTTAAACAGAGCTTCCACCTCGTTTTCGTCTACCTCTTCAATGCTTGCCGGGTTCCATTTTGGGTTCTGCAAAAGAGTTTTCACGGAAGATCAGTTTTGTTTGACTCGAGCTAGAGAGTTTGTTTGGTATAAACAAAACTTTGGTTCCAGCATCGAAGATGATTAAGAGAACCAAATTGACGAAGCTAAATGAATGAAACAGAGAAATTTAGAGTGCCAATGAACAAACCTGATCCTTGTCAATCAAAACTGCTCTAACGCCTTCAGCAAAATCACAACGCAAGGCAGATCTTAATGCGATGCGATATTCAGTTTTCATCACACCATTAAGCTTTACAAAGGAAATTAACATGCAGTTTTAATAACTGTCTTAGTGTAGGAAATAATAATGTTATGTAAAAGTTGAAACTCACTGTTGTTAATTCGTTTGCAGTTTTACCCTTGGCACATGCAACATTGGCAAAGTACTTCTGTGTTAGGTTAAGAGAAAACGGTGCTCCTTTTTCCAAACCTTTTAGTGCCTCATTAGCCCATTCTACAACTGTATCCAAACATTTTCCAGCATTCACAAAGGTAAGGCAGCAATTTTAATTTTGTTTATAGTCTGAACGCGAAGAGTAAGGCTCTATGAGCATTACAGTTCTCATGGAAAATTATACCTGACGGCTCCGTGCTTTGCTGGTACTTTTTGAGCACTTCTATTGTTTCCTTGACAGACTTATTTGAGCTAAAGGCTGACTCTATTTGAGGCAACAGCAATTTGAGGTGGGGCTCAGATTCAGGATTGCCGCTATATTTTGATAAAGTTTCTTGGATGTCTTGATCCGGATCCTCAGAACTGCATCACGGATATGAATGAGTTCTAAACAGAGAAAAATGTTTCGTTTTGAGAGAAAGATAAGAAAGGAGGTCGAGAAGGGCATACAAGTTAGCTGACAAAATGGCTTCCTTTAATGAAGTTAGCTTTTCAGAAGGTACATAATGCGTCCCAAGACCAACGAACAGTGCATCTGATGGCGTAGAGATCCTTTTTCCAGTCAAACCAAGATAAGCACCTGCAGACATTTATGCCAGAAAAGTTGCATTGGCAATATACCAAAGTAATATTTTCTTTCAGCTTCTAAAACCAATAATCAGGTTTCACTCTATAGAAAACTTAGAAGGATTTAGCCGAAGAATCATCGTTTTCCACCAAATTTTGTGCATGCATAGATAGCAACCAACTAGGAATGACCTTTGAGTAGCACCTTAAAACTTTATGCAGTGAAAAGGATTTGAGTATGAACATACCAACAGATCCTCCTCCAGGGCTGTGAGCTGCTATATATGAAAACCCGACATCTGGGAACAAGCCGATTCCATTTTCTGGCATGGCAAGAACTGTCCTCTGGAATAGAAAACAAAACATGAAAACGAGTCAAGAAAATGATTCCAGTTATTACCTACACAAAAAGTGCAGACAAGTATTTTTCTCTTTAGTACCTCTGTTATCACGCGGTAGCGACCATGTCCAGAAAGACCTAGGCCAAATCCCATTGTTATACCATCCATCAATGAGATATATGGCTTTTTGTACCCGGCAATAGCGCATATCAGAGTATATTCTGCTGTGAATACCTAAGGAAGTAAAATATCAAAGTTAAATCATCTAAGTTCTAATGGCTAACATATGCTAAGAGAGGTCGTGGAAAGGCCAAACTAAAAGAGACCACACAAATGCCTGTTAAACAAATTAGTACACCATTTAATTCATTATATTCAGTTAAAACATAATAAAACATGACCTGAAGTATTGAGATGATCCTACATTAATATCAGTTTCGTGTCTTATCTTTCGTTTTTTATAGATAGGATCCATATGACGATGAGTACACACAAACAATTGATTTTTGGTAATTATCTTCACATCATCACAAGCAGTTAAATTAAGACCATGGCTAATTGGTTATTCGTTTTCTATTGGTTTTCTTACCTAAAGACGGATCCTATGATGTGAAATTCACCCATCGCAACAACAACAAAAAAAACCCCAACAAAAATGACTACATCGCATAACTCTAGCATCCTATATATTTAAAGATAAAGTATATTTTGCAGATGGTAAGGCATAATTTATAAAGAAACCTTTTGCACAAGAGGTGTGTTTTTGTCCTTTTGGATTTCCGCAGCAACTCCTTTAATATCCATCCCTGCACACCATTCATAGATAGTCACTCAAAACACTCCCCAGAGGGACAAAACTATTATCATTTTGCATTTATCCACTTCCACATAATGACATCAAATGCCACATAAATTCAATTACATGAAACAGTTAGAACACTGCAAACTATGCAATTACCTGCGCAAAAGGCTCGAGGTGTGCTGCCTTCAACGATAACACATTTGACTCTAGGATCAGATTCACATTCATCAAGAAAGCTTTTATACTTCACATCCATATCTGTAATATCAATAACATATAACCAATTCAGCAATTCTGTAATCCCCAAAATACACTTCACACACCACTGAATCAATCAGAGTTCATCACTGATTATAATCATATAAACCCAATTCCAAGAACACGATTATCAAAATTCAATTCATGATACAAAAATGGTGTAGCTTCTTCACATCTCAATCTAAACCTTAACAATAATTACTAACAAAACATCCAAAAATTCTCCATTCAAACCCTAAAATTTAGTAAGTAAGATCACCAAATTGGGAAACGAAAACAATCATACAAATAGAGAAGACAACTTTGTTTTTTTTTTACCAAGGTTCATGGCGTTGAGAGCTTTGGTTCGATCGAGAGTGATGAGAGCGACACCATTAGGATAAACATTCCCTTTAACGAAGTCGTCTTCGCCGGCCATCACTGAGAATTTCCGATTACGATCGGAGATTGAGAGTCTGAGGCGGTGGTGAGAAGAGAAGGTTGATGATGAGAATTTGGGGAAGAAGATGCGATGAGCTAAGGTTTTGATGATCATAGTGGTGAAGTGATGATGATACAGTCATTAGTGACGGAGAGAGATGGAGCTTAGTAGGTAAACACTCTTTCTCGATCAGCGGGTTTATATAAGAATGCATTTGCCATTACTTGACGATAATTTTAGTATAATACTAGGTTGCTACAGCGCGGGGGAAATAATTACATATATATAACTTTTATCGGATTAAAATATGTTACATTTTAATTTTGTTAGAGTGCAGTCGATTACGGTAAATCATATATTTGTATAATAAGTTTAAATAAAATAATAAAGGAAAAGCGAGTAAATAATCATATACTGAGTTTTGATACAATTAAAAACACGGTGAAAATTTAACAGCACGAAATAATATTTGTCGATAAATTATTCATTTTGGCCATTTTTGTAGTAAAAGTAGGAATATACGTAAAATTACAAATTTACAATATATTTTTTGAAAGTCCAACCCGTAACAGAATTCATTTCGTAAAAAACATTATTCGTAACTCGTTTTATCATTATAATTGTGATTTTAACAAACTACCCGTGAATTATCTAAAATTTACGTAGTTTGATATATAATATATTTTATCAATAAAAATTATGTCTCCTTAATTACATTTATGTCTTCAAAAAAATATTTCGATATTTTAAATTCTAAAAGTTTTATATATATGAACCTTTTATTTATAATATTTTGAAACTATTTGAAATTTTAAATATGCTCATGTAACAATGGTTTTAATATTGGTCATACTTATAATGATTTTAAACCATTGTCCAAAATATTTAACCGAGTGTAGTTGAGTATTATATGTCTGTTTTGAAAAATTCAAATTGCAACATATGCAAAAAGTTAAATTTTTATTAAATATCAATATTATATAGTGAAAGTAGAGTATTATTTAAATTATTATTAAATAATATCATAAATTAAAAATAATATCAAATAAACGTGAAAGAAGAATATTTTGTTTTAAAATAGATTGTATTAAATTAGTTAGAGAAATATTAGTAAATCCTATAATTAGTTATGGAAATAATACAATTCTAAAATTAGATTTGGAAGGTATCCGGTGTATGTATCCAAACCCATTAATCTATCCAACTTTAAAAGATCCAATTATAAATTTCGGGTAATTTTTTGAAATTGACCCGACCCGGAAGCACTTTTTGTACTTCTCTTTTACTAATATAGGGATATATAGTTATGTATGATTTATTTCCCTTTTTTAATCTATATTAACATTTTTGAAGTACCTTTTGGAAAATAACCTTTTATTTTGTATTATTTGCATAATAAATCCTTGCCATTTAAATAAATAACAAACTTTTAAGATAAAATTTGTAATTAAATTACACTAGAATCACAAAATTAAAAACTAATATTTATTACATTTAACAAAATTTCCTAAAATATCTCCCTAATAAATTGAATATCTCTCCAATATCTTTATATGATCTTATTTGTTTTAAAATTTAAATTATTACATAAACCATAAGTATAATAAAAATACAAAAAACAATTCGCATATGTAGCAATTTGAATTTTTGGAAACGGATGTATATTACTCAATCGATAAAAGAAAAAACATATATGTATAACGTCCCACATCGGGTAGAAAATTTTAGACAATGGTTCGGAACCATTATAAATATGACTAATATGAAACTTAAAAATCTAAAATCTTGAATGAAAGATTACAACAAAAAAAGTTTTACTAAATTTTAGGGAATCCAAAATTTTAAAATCTTGATTGGTTAAAAATGAGTTTTTAGAAAACAATAACCAAAATCTCTCTTGAAATCTATAAAACATTCAAGGTTTATATTTTACATAAATATGATTTAACGGGTTTGAGTTTTATGTTTTTCTTACGGGTTAACAAAAAAAAAATAACAAACATAATTTTTTTAGTCCCGCGAGTTACAAAAAATATCCTGCGAGTTACAAAAAATATCCCGCGAGTTAAGTAATAAAAATAACAATCAAAAATACAATTACACAATCTTAAACACTAAAAAGGTAATAAAATTAACAAATATAAAAATATATATATTTTTTAGTCAAAACAATCGTACCGCGGTGTACCGCGGTGTACCGCGGGTTAAAACCTAGTGCAAAGTGAAATTGAGTGAAAAATGAAATAAAATGGAAAAAAGAGAGAGAGACACGACAATGTTCCTCAAATTGGCTCTCTTTTTTTTTTTTGGACAAAAAATTGGCTCATTTCAATTTTTAGTCGTTGACTAAAAAAAACAAAGATTGAGCAATTTTGATACATACAACAACCAAAAAAAAAGTCTTATTTTGTTATATTTTGAGCTTTTCTAAAACAAGATTAGATGACTTTTAATGCTGTACGTAGACATATTTTGGGAAACAACCTAAGATAACTCTAAAACAATCATTCATATAGATAAAGATAAACAAAACTAATTTTGGTTGTACTAAATTTAGTCTTATGCCAAAACTCTAATTCATATAGGATTAGTATAAAAAGATTGACTTCCCTAAGCTATTGAATCACATAACCAAAACAAACACATCTCCTTCATCTTCTTCACCTTGTCCTTAATACCACCACCCTCATTATTAACACTAGCTCTCTAGGATAAGGTGAAGAAGATGAACGACCTCCAAGAAAACAACAGTGTCGCGGCTGCGGAAAAACATACTTCTTCTTCTTCGTCGTCGAAGGCTGTTGATGGGTCATCGTCGATGAAAAAGATGATATCGGTGGCTTCTATTGCTGCCGGTATACAGTTTGGTTGGGCTCTTCAGTTGTCTTTGTTAACTCCGTACGTGCAACTTCTTGGTGTTCCACACAAATGGTCATCTTTCATTTGGCTTTGTGGTCCTGTCTCTGGATTGCTTGTCCAGCCAACAGTTGGTTATTACAGCGATAGATGTCAGTCAAGATTCGGTCGTCGTCGTCCTTTCATCGCTATCGGTGCCTTTCTTGTCGCTGTTGCGGTTTTCCTAATCGGATTTGCGGCTGATTTTGGCCATAGTTTGGGAGACAAACTCGAAGACCGTGTAAAGGGCAAAGCTGTTGTTATCTTTGCTCTTGGATTTTGGATCCTTGATGTAGCGAACAACACTCTTCAAGGACCTTGCCGAGCTTTCCTTGGCGATTTGGCAGCTGGAGATGCAAGAAAAACGAGAACCGCAAACGCAGCTTTCTCGTTCTTCATGGCTGTTGGAAACGTATTGGGATACGCGGCTGGTTCATACACTAACCTCCACAAGATCTTTCCTTTCACAATAACTAAAGCATGTGACCTCTATTGCGCGAATCTAAAGAGTTGTTTCTTCCTCTCCATTACTCTCCTCCTTTTCGTCACCATCATATCTCTTTGGTACGTCGAAGACAAGCAATGGTCACCAAAAGAAGACTCCGAAGACGACAAGAAAACTCCGTTCTTCGGCGAACTCTTTGGAGCCTTCAAAGTGATGAAACGTCCAATGTGGATGCTACTAATCACCACATCCTTGAACTGGATCGCGTGGTTCCCTTTCCTTTTATTCGATACCGACTGGATGGGTCGTGAGGTTTACGGTGGTAGCTCAGAAGGAGATGACAACATGAAGAGACTTTACAACCAAGGAATCCACGTTGGTGCATTGGGATTGATGCTTAACTCAATCGTTCTTGGATTCTTTTCTCTTGGTATTGAAGGTATCAGTAGAAAGATTGGAGCTAAAAGGCTTTGGGGAGCTGTCAATATCATCCTTGCAGTATGTTTGGCAATGACTGTTTTGGTTACTAAAAAGGCCGAGGAGCACCGCAGAACCGCTGGCCCGATGGCCCTCCCGACCGATGACATCAAAGCCGGAGCATTGACTCTCTTTGCTCTTCTTGGAATTCCTCTAGCTGTAAGTCCAACAAAACTTGTCTTTCATTCAAAATTTTGTTACTATCACTATTGCATTGCACTAACATTATTTTTCTTGGTATTTCTATAGATTACTTTCAGTATTCCTTTTGCATTAGCTTCCATCATCTCAAGTAGCACTGGAGCCGGCCAAGGTATTTAGATAACAAATCATCTAAAAACATTATTAGGTTTATAACATATTTGTTAATAATGATTTTTTTGTTATTTTTTTCATAGGACTATCACTTGGAGTTTTGAATATGGCAATCGTTATACCACAAATGATTGTATCCTTTGGAGCTGGACCTGTTGATGCATTATTTGGAGGTGGAAACTTACCAGGATTTGTGGTTGGAGCAATTGCAGCTGCTATTAGTAGTGTTGTTGCATTTACTGTTTTACCTTAAGTTTCTTTGTTTGATTTGGTTATGTATATGCATACAAATGTCCGATAAATTAATGTGACGTATGGCATATATTGTTTGAAATATTCAATTAAAATTTCATCAAATCTTGACTTCAAAAGCTTTTTCCTCTATGATACTATGTCTCAAATAAAATTGAATGAAAGCAATAAATAAATAATTATATTTAGCTAAATCATCATTCAATTTATATAAGCAGTAAATAAATTACTGAAAGCAAATAAAAATTGGTTCTTGAGCTTGAATTACTTATAGCAAGTCATAATTATCTATGAAAGACATTACCCAAAATACTAAATTCTCGTTTGTATTAAGGTATTCTAACAAGTATTAAAACCTACTCCAATAATCTCACAAAACACCTTGACATCAATTGTTGGTTGGCTAAGGAAGTCTTTCTTATCCAAAGATATATCCATGAATCCAATAACATTTCTAGTGCAAGATAAATAAATTAAGGTGATAGCTGAATTGACTTAATTCAACTTAAAGCATTAAGAATCATCTAAGATAGATAACCATATCGATGTAAAAACAAAAAAAAAGATAGAGAACCAGAAAATCATGGGGGAATTTCAAAAATACAAATTTTCCAATACCACTTTTTAAAAATACTCTTTTTCTAATTTTTTCAAAAAGTCACTATAAAATTTGAAATTTATCAAAAAAATATGTATAAGCTTATATTTATAGACACAAATTATTTTATATGTGTGTAAATTTATATATATATATATATATATATATATATATATTTCATAAATACTGTATAAATATATTTTAAAAACCTTATACAAACTTTGTAAACCTTATAAATGTAGTTTAGAACCTTTTAAAACCTTATAAATATTTGGATTTAGTCTCCCAATAGTAATGATGATCTTGATGTACCTTATCAACCATATAAAAGTTTATAATTTTTCAAATTTGAAAAGGGGTATTTTTGAAAATGGATAGAAAAGAGGGATATTTTTAAAAAATAGTACACTAAAAAGAGAATTTCTCAAAAATTCTCAAAAATCATCCAATAATAAAATTAAAAGCAGTTACATAAATATCTCTATAGAAACCCAAAACTCACTATAACTCACATGACGTAAGTATACATGTATCACTGTATAAAGAATGAACATGAGCTTAAACCTCAAGAGCTTTAAAATTTTTAATGATAAATAAGAATAATCTTAAAAAACACTAATAACGCTCATAAGAACATGTCTTTTAAGGTGAAGTAAACCATTTGCTTATATATAAACAGTTCTGGACCTCTATGAAGGCGCACATTTTCCGTTAATTAGTGGCTTAATTTTTTTTTTTTTAAAAATAAAAATATATACAAACATTCTCATCAAATAGTTGAAGATTCATATCTATAAAATTATTATTTATTTTTTAATTTTTATATGTTTTCACGTATTCATTAAAAATATTACATGTGTTAAAATATGAAAAATGAGAACATTAAGATAAATTTACTAATATTTTCAGATAAAAAAATTCATCCCTATAAACTCATTGCTTTTTCAAAATTTTATGTTTTCCCTAATAAATGAAAGACACTACATTTTCAACGATAACTACATTTTTGATCCAATGAAATTAATGTTAAAGAGCTTATATTTTTATTTTGAACATCAACATGCATTGTGCGTACATTGGATAAAATATAAACTAAATATAATATTTTAATTTAAACTATATTTCAACCTTAGACATCCAGTTATGCAATCACATTACTATCTCTATTTCGTCGTAAAACCATATTTTAGTTCTACGCATATTTTTCATGGATAAGATTTAAAAATTTAATAACAAAACTAATCAAAGAAACAATTAGTAAAAAAATATATAAAAATAATTAGTAAGAAATCAAATAACATCAACAAATAGTTGGGGGAACTAAAAATACTTCTTTCCCTAAACCACTTTTCAAAAATACCCTTTTAAAAAAAATTATTGAAAATGCGAATCAAAATAAGATAGTTATCCAAATATGTGTGTAAACTTATAAAAATATGCAGACTATCTTTATATGTGTGTAAAGTCTTTTATATATATACAATATATATATAAAAGACCATGTAAATACCATAAAAAAACTTTTTAAATTCTTTTAAGGACCTTTTCAAAATCTTTTAAACATTATAAAACCATAAAAATATTTAGAATGAGCCTCCGATTAGTAATTACTAAGTACCTTATAAACCTTTAAAACTTATAAAATTTCTAATTTAATATTATATATTCTTTTTAATAAATATATATTTATTTTTATTTTAAATATAAAACGACGTTGTTTTGAAGTTTTACTAAAATCTATTTAACATTGACTTAATTCCGTTTAATAAATCTGTCAGTTAACTTAAAATGTGTCTTATTTGGCAAAGTCAACAAAAATTTACAGATTCGTTAAAAAGTCACTCAAAATTAGATATATATTTCACGAGACACATCATTCATGCTTGCAATTTATGAAAATTTTCCCGTTATTATTTACTAGATTGTATTATTTTGTTTTTTGTTTGTTATAAATTTCTTTTAAATAAAAAAACAATAATAATTCTAAGATCTATTTTTTTTTGGTAAAAATAATTCTAAGATCTATAAATAGCCATTAGTTCGACTATTATCATATCCCGTCAACGAGACAGACCACAGCCGTCGACGTCGTCAAGTCAACACCGGTCTTTGTCTTTTATAGTATTATACAAACTAAGATTCCACATTTAACGCCGTCAATTATTTCCGTCCATCTCCTTCCTCAAATCTCAAACTCCTCCTTGTACTCCCTTAATCCCACAGACCATTCTTAGCTGTACAAAGTCTCTCTTCTTCTTCTTCTCTCTCTCTCTCTCTCAAAACTCTGATTCAACAAAGACGACAAAGCGAAGAATCAAAATCTCCAGAACTTGGATCCTCGTTGAAGCTTCAAAGTAAGATTCTTCTTCTAAATCTCCTACAGTTTCTGGATCTATATGTAAGCGTGATCGTGATCGATCTTAGGTCTATGAACTGAAAAATTTTGTGATAGATTGATCGATTTAAGTATGTAATTCGTATTGTTCCGAACTCGATTTCGCCATTGTTGATTCGAACTACTGATCCTGAGTTCCTTAATTTCAGTCTCAACCTTTTCTGCCGAGTTTATCAATAATGATTCGAAAAGTTTGTGTAGTTTCTAGCTAGTGTATTGGAATCGGGAAAATGGCTAGTCGTGTTAAAGAAGACGAGAAGAACGAGCGGATTATTAGGAGTCTTCTCAAACTTCCTGAGAATAAGAGATGTATAAACTGTAACAGCCTTGTAAGTTTTTTTTGATCTTCTTGTTACTGTATTCATCATTTCAATGAAACTAAAACCAAGGAATGAATTTGAGACAAAGTAACTTTTTATGTTTCCTTGGGTATGATTTTCTTAGGGACCACAATATGTTTGCACTACTTTCTGGACTTTTGTGTGTACTAACTGCAGTGGGATACAGTAAGTTTCTAGATTCTGTACTTTAGATTCTCCTATTCTTGTGTAATAGTGGTTTTTGCAAGTGTTGTTGAGATATTCATGTGTGTGTTTGAACAGCCGTGAGTTTACACACCGTGTTAAATCAGTATCGATGGCGAAGTTTACCTCACAAGAAGTTACTTCTTTAAAAGAAGGTGGAAATCAGGTAAACAAGCTGAATCTCTCTTCTTTTGATGACTGATGGGTTTTGTTTTTTTCGTTGGCATTTGTGATTTTAGTATCTTTTGTTTAATGATTTTGCCTTGTAACAGCATGCTAAGGATATATATTTTAAAGGACTTGATCAACAGAGGCAATCAGTGCCTGATGGCAGGTATCAGAAATCTGTCTTATTGTTGTAGAGATGATGGGATGTTTTACATTGGCTGATTGGTTTTTATATCTGTCAGTAATGTAGAGCGGTTAAGGGACTTCATCAGACATGTGTATGTAAATAAAAGGTACACGAATGAGAAGAATGATGACAAACTTCCAAGTGAGACACGTAGTTCTAGTGGGTCTCGAAGTCCACCATATGAAGATGTAAATGACCGTCGTTACAGCGACAGATCAAGTCCTGGTGGGAGAAGTCCAGGGTTTGAGCCAGGTAACAGGAATGTTGGTAATAACAAAAAAAGCCCTGCTCGTCCTGAGATCTTGAATGATTGGCGTAGAGAAGATAGATTTGGGGGTAGAAAAACATCAGATGAGGGCTCCCAATCACCTGAACAAGTAAAAGACTTAGGTTCAGCTAGCCCTCCAGTAGCTCGACCTGTTAGGGAAATTTTAGGTGACAGTGTTATTCCTCTCCGTGTGGGAGAGCCTCCAAAACCACCTGTCAGCCGAAATATCGATGCTTCTGCACATGCAAAGGTTTGGCTTCATCTTTTTTTCACAGTGCATGTAAAATATAATGTCCATAAGAGCCATTGATATTCATGACCCTTTACCTAAATAAAATTGTTGTAGCACATGTATTCGAGGTAATACCATCTAATTCTTAGGGAAGAAAGAAACGTGTTGATGTTTTCTGTTTTTGTTATTTCAGTCAACTACATCATTGAGTAGTTTAATGTCCACAAATGAGAAGCCACCAGAAGTGAAGCTGCCAGAAGTGAAGCCACCAGAAGTGAAGCCGAAGGCTACTTTAAGCCTGATTGATTTTGATACTGATTTTGAACCTCCTGCTCCAGCTGTTGCAATGCAAGCACCAGAATCTACCACACGTCAGCCTGCTCCACAGCCAGCATCTTTGTCTAATGATAACTGGGCATCTTTCGATGCTGCACCCAGTGCCCCTAGTTTAAATGTATCACAACCACCACCCAGTGGAAACACTCTGGATTCACTTCTCTCCCAGTTGGCCGTGACTTCTTCTGTGCAAGGTCAGACGTATACACCATCTAGCGGACCTGGGCATCTTGGCCATTCCACGTCACAAATCTTTGCACCTTTTCCGAATGAACATTCAAGTGAACAGGTGGGCACTTTGGTGCATGCTCTCTCATAGAAAAGCATAAAATTCTGCTTCCAGAATATAATGTGCTTATGCTTCTTGGATTTTTGTAACAGCCATGGAACACGGCACTTGCATCCAATGTACATAGGTCAATGAGTGCCCCGTCATTGCAACCTCTTCAAGGAGTCCCTTCCGGTGGCCTGCAGTCTTCTGAGGTTAAACCTTCCGGAAGGAACGAATTACCAGCGGTATTGATTTATCTTAGCCATTTGACCTGTGCTTTCTATATCTTACCATCTTTGGGAGTGTAAATGACATGCTAACCTTTCTGCAGGATTTATTCACTGTAACCTACCCATCATACCATGCACCAGTACCTGGGTGGCAAGCTGGTCCACCTCATGGTATGCACTATGGCATGCAGCAGTATAATAACCCCGTGGTACAGTTTTCTAAAACATTTCTGAATCCATAATGAATTTGAGCATCAATGACACCCCAGCCTGCGTTGTTAATCTTCTATTTCCTGCAACAGCCTTACCAGAATGTCCCGCACCCAGCCAAGTCAATGAACCCTTTTGACTTCAGCACTGGGCCGCCATCACAAACACCAACGGTATGTCCTCTATTTCATTCAACTTATCCAAAACATGATATTTGTGCGAAAGTAAGCATGTTTTGGAAATTAGTTTTTAGCGAAATTGCTACTTGGCAGCTGAGCTGATGTTGACTTAAGCTCTTAATGAGTTAATTAGTTATACCCTTTCACTTTACTCGGTCAATATATACAATCGAACAACTTGACTTACCAAAGTACATATACAATAGTCCTGTGATTACATGTTAAGTAATTCTGAATACGGTACAGGAAAATATGTTCCCTTCCATGGCTCCTCAACAAGGTGCATTACCTCCTTCAGGCATGATGCCTTCTCATGGAGTACACAATCAATTACCTCCTTCAGGCATGATGCCTTCTCAAGGAGTACACAATCATTTCAATATACCTTCTCAAGTCTCAGCCCATCCATCTGCAATGCCACCAAGTAAAGCACGGCATTACTTTGTTATTCTCTGCTCTTGAATGATGTGTTTACTCTTATGAATTGTTTGCTAAACTATTTTCCCCCAATTTTCAGGGTACATGTCTCCTCCATTACCAGGAAGCATGCCACCTAGGTATGCCCTCTTAATTCAATTAATTACTTTTCTCTAAACGTGATCTCCATGATCCATACAAAAGCTGTTACTAAGCTTGCTCAAGCTTTAGATGAAACATCTGCTTATTTTATCTCTCGTATTTTGCAGTAATGTAAGCCCAGTTGGCGACATGAACGCTTCATATGACGCTCAACAAACATACCAAAATTTTGGAAGCTCGTTTCCTGCTGCGGTTCCTTTGAACCCACCTTCTTTCCAATCAGGAGGAAACCCGTTTGGGTAAGAATGAACGAGAATATTAGCTCGAGAGAGCTATGTTATGTTTGAGGATAGTGTTTGTGTTCTAAGGTGTAGTATAAAGTATCAAATCGAATACAAACATGGGTTAAAAAAAAAATAGGGTGAACGAAGGAAGGTACGAGCCATAAATCATGAAGAAAGAATTGGGTTTGTGATGAGAGTGTTAGATGATTTTTTTATAAGCATCAAAATGTTTTGAAATAGGTTTGATATTTATTCTTTGGTGTTTCTATATTTCATTTCCCCTTGTGATGTTTTCTTTTTGGCCATTGTCCCTTTAGAAAAAAAACTCTTCAGGCTCCTCCTTTGTGTTGTATGATTTTGTAAAAGGGCTTACACATTGACCATAACGTCTTGTCAAAATTGAATTTTGACAAGTTAAAAGATTTTTCTGTTGTGAGACTTTTAAGGTTTGGTCATGTTTCTCTTCCTGTCTTAACTCTCAACACCATTTGTTTGTAAAATGAACGAGATTGTAACATGTAAAGAACATCAAGATTTGATCTACGATTAATGATCTAACGCGGAAACTCTATCGAAACTCTTCTTGGAAACTCACTAAAAATTGCGCACGACCTCAAGCCTTGACGATTCTTACAACTTTTCTCACACTTTAAAACTGACTTGTTTTGTTATGTTAATTTGTAGTGTAAGAGTCTCCTCTTTATTGTTCTTTGATATCGCTCCAAGTCTAAAATGAAACTTGTAGCGTTTAGCTTTTAGCCTTTTAGCATCCAATTGCTTAATATCAAAACTATGTATAAAACATAGAGAGATGTATGTGTTGTGTAATAATGATGTGTACACGCTTTCATGATTAGAGACCCTGTTAGGGTCACACTTACACACATAGTATTACTAATCTATGCTATATTGGTATATTTGTATCATCCTTTCTTTGATCCTACATAAATCTACAGTGCAAACATATGATGCTTTCACACATTTCCCCAATATCTTCTATTCTATTCTCCAGCCAAATCAACACTACAAAGATGAAACGAGAGGTGACAAAAAGCTCTCTGTAGTGATCTCATGTTGTTTGTCTGCTTTTCAGTACCATTGGAGCAACCAACATCCAAACTGCAACAACCATTAAAATCAACTTTTAAACATCACAAAATATCTTGATTCCTATTACAGTAAGTAATTTTTTGTTTACTTACTGTAAACGCCAACCGCGAGCCATTCGTTCACTATCCTTACCCAAGTACTTGTCCACCCAACATCAATTGTCCACCTAACGGAAAAAAAATCCGAGTATCAAATTATCAATGGAGCTACAAAGATCTACTAAGCTTTGGTAGTTTGGTACTGCTGTTTTATAAATGAATTCATCAAGAACTTACTTTTTCATGGAATGATGAATGTTCCAGCCAACAAGTAACATTGCAAAGTACATTGCTCCGGTAGCAAACACAAAATGGAAGAATCCGTATCCGTAAGGAATTGCATCTTCCTCATGATTCTCATCTTTTCTAAACTGTAAAAGGCCACTTGCTGTTAGTCAAGTTTATCTTCTGAAGTTTTGCAAAAAAGTTGGCAAGAGCTCATAGAAAACATACCTGGAAACATTGAGAATCTACTCCCGTAGAGAATGTCGCGATTACCATTGCAAGCAGTGCAACAACAAAGCTCTACAAGATACATATACAAAAAAAAAACCTGTTTAGTACATTCTTTATAATCTCAAAAATTTGGAAAGGTCACCAAAAGAATCTTGGAAAAGCCACTTACTATGATGGTAAGCCAGTCCGTTTTGCTCGAACCTTCGGCTTTTCTGTTGCAAGTTTCTCCTAATGGCTCACTGCAAAACAAAAAATGTCAGATGAAATAAGTACTTTATAACATATATATGTATATACATAGAGACTACATTCTAATTGCTATTGTTATTGTACTTGTTGTAGTATTAGAGATAGATAAAATGAAACATGCCTTCGAATGGCGCACCAGCAGATGAACACAACATAAAGCCCCATAAGCGCGGGAGTCAAGAATCCAGCATTAACCTGTTATATGCAAGAATAAGTAACATTGTTCAAAAGACTGCATATACACACATAATGATGGAAGATTAGTACTGTAAGAACCTCGGAAGCGGACTCACTTTGGGGTGGAGAGAGATACTTGTCATAAGTTGAATGAGGAACAAAGTCCATGTGATGAAAAATATGTTGAGAAGACATGATGGTTCAGGCACATACCATATGTACATTAAAATCACCCCTAATATGCATACGGTGTACGCAGTAGTCGCCAATAGCATCACATGGACGCGGCTGCAACATTAAAAACTTCATCAGAAAATACTAATCATTTTGTATGTATCCAAATTACATAAGGAACAGTAGTCTCATTGGAGGTCTCACCATCTTTCTGCATCTTTTTGTGCTTGGAAACATTCATTGAGCCATGTAATGAAACTGATGATACTAATGAGCTGAATTAGGAGAAAGACCCTATTTAAAAAGGAGGTTAAAGTGATAAGCTTCCGAGACAACCATCACACAGTTTCTGAAGTAGGATTAGAAAAACCATACCCTGCACCAAAATGGGCAATCTCTCCTGCAAAGCAAAAGAAATGAAAAGCCATTTTGTCATGCTAAATGAATTTTGGTAAATAAAAACGATTAATCGAGGAAGATGAGCCGTTATACCGTAAAGTTGAATGATGGAAGAAGGCAACAAGAAAGGGAATATTGCTAAGCCAAGCCACATGAAAAGCTTAGCAAACCACCATCCTGAATGCCATTTATCTCTTGATGAATGCATCTTCGATGTGCCAACGGTTGAAAGAAACATAATGAAATAGAACAGCTATAAAGAGTTAAGGCAAAAGTGTTCTCTCTGAAGCCATGAAGATAGTAATGTATATGAATATGACTAAGTCAATAAAAAGGATACAAAACATCCAAAGCTAACTCGTAAAACTCCTTCAGTCCCTAAACACTCTCCACCGTCTTCTTTACAATTCTTGAATTCTGCAATCATAAATAAACATACAAGCATCAATTCATATGGCAAAATTATTGTAAAATTTCATAAGGCTAGAGACTCAAGTGAACCATACTTCTCATTTCAGTCAAGGCACCTCGACCATAATCGCGCAAGGCCCAAGCCAACAGATTTGCCAAGAGAAATATCAGACCATACACATATCTAGCCATCCACGGGTTGCAACCATTACGAAACTGGATAAACCACGAACCGTTCTTGATCCCTTCATAGCCATTTTTCTCAATGCTTGTACCGGTCTCCATAGGTCTTTGAAAACTTTAGCAGACTCTCTCTTCTTCATGACATTGGAAGATCAGGTCAAATGCTTGGCTGATCAATACCATCAATCCCAAATCTCCCGGGCCTCGCTTATCTATAAAAATGAACTAAACACAAGAAAGACACTCCAGAAACGTGTACTTGTCTTCCTTCAGAACAAAGAACCTAAAACAAGAAACAATGATAATTAAGGCAAGATCATTTGAGTATAAGCTTAAAACAAGAAACCATGATAAAAACATATGTCTTAATCTTACAAATCACACTAAATCCATTTCTAAACAGAAACTTATTGTTATGTATTTTTGTTAAGTAGAACATTAACAACTTAATACGTAGAGTACAAGATTGTCTAACAAGAACTTTTTTTAAGGCATGCTTTTAATTTCACACAAACGTCAACGAAACCTCTAGCTAAAGCTAACCCCATCATATACTTTGAATGAAGTTGTATTAAACCACAAGACTCTATAAATTATTGAAGTAGAGAAGTGGCGAAAGAACTTTATAATTTGATAGATAGAGAGAAACAAAAGCTTAAAAGAAGAGATAAAAAAGGAAACAAAACCTTATATTTTTGGGGGATGAATATGATGTAAATGTATACAATTTGCAATCTTGATATGAAACGTGTACGGATGCTATTGGACTAAAGAATATTTTTTTATGCAAGTGAGCAAATTGTTAATGCTATGCAGCCACATCATATAATATACACTTTTTGCTTTTTTTTTATGCTTACCATAAATTTGAGAAAAAGCTCAAAAGCAAACTTATTTTTTTTGGAGGAGATTCACAAGTTCACTTTATTGAGAGACTCGTGGTTAGTGGTTGGTTACCTCTTAAATAGTTTAATTAGAAAAAGATATAACCAAGAAAAAAGCAAAAGATCTTATATTATATGATCATAAATAAGAATAGTATCGAATTTGGCATATGTCTATATAGCTCAATTAGTGTCGTTTAGCCATTTTAAAAATAGTTTTAAGGTTAAGAAGAAGTTAGATAAATTCCAAATTTATTCTTTTAGTTTGTGATAGAGTCAAAACTAAACAAATTTTTATGTTAAGAAAACTAAAATAAAACCCCTATGATCTTTGTATTCTAATTGGAATAGAAAATAAATTTACAATTATAAAATGAAATAGAGTTATTCTAATCCTCAGTTCATTACAAGAATAGCCTTTGATTGTTTGATCCACCAATAAAACTAATCTATATAGAATTTTTAGGATTCTTATGGAAAATTGAAAAATGCATGCTGATACACAATTTTTACATAATTGTCATGTTAGAAAAAAAAAAAAGGAAAAGAAATTAAAGAAAACGTATAAATGAAGCATAGAGAAGAATCATCATGTACCCCTGAAAATCTTAATCACCCATAAATTAAGGTATTAATTATGTTAAAGTTACGTCTAATCTCTTAATAAAGCTAGATAATTAGCAGAAAGCAAATAGAAAAGAAAGAAAAAAAAAGAAAAAAAAAGTGACTATTGGATTGGTCCCTCTCTGCCTCAAATCTTTTGGTAAAAAAAAAAAAAACTAATTTAACATTTTGGGTTTTGCAGAAGAAAATTTATTGTTTTGGATTCCCAGAAAATTAATGTAAAAAAAAAAAGTAACACAAAATTCGAATCCCCATTTTTCATATTTCCCAAGAAACATCAAGATTCATACTTAAAAACACTTAAAAAATATAAAACTCTTAAGTATAGTTATTATATAAACAAGTACCAAAGAAGACTCACATGCATGTTACTAAATCTGATAGATCCAAGAAAGATTAGCAAAAGGAGATTGAAGAGAACCTGTTTATATTCTTTTCTGGTGCAATATAGCTCAAGATCGGATCTGAAGAATGTTTCTTGAAAAGGTTTCACTTAGAAATGAGAAAACCCAAGAACAAGAACTGAGAGAAGAGAAGAGAAGAAAGAAGAGAAATAATGATTTCAGGTTTTGATCTTTTTTTGGCTTTTGTTCTTTCTTTTTAAAACACTTCTTTCTTATATATATGTGTTATGTGTATGGCATGCGTAGTAGTTTATAAATTGTGGATCTTTTTTTTTTTTGTTTTTTTTTATAGATTTAACTCACCCTATTTACAATGTTATTTATGTTTCGTAATTTGTGAGCATATGCAATTATATATGATGATGCTCTTTTCATTTTTCTTTTACGACAGTGTATTTTTTATTTTCTTAGAAAAGTTAAAAAAAAATTATTCTTACAATGTTGTTTTGTCACCTAATTTTGTATGATTATATTGTCCTTTTCCGCCGCTATGTTTATTATCTCTACTCGACACTCTCATATCTTTTAAATTTCAAGTAAATACTTTTATCAACTTTAACTCAGAAAATCAAAGATAATGATAGAAAATATTTTTATCAACACTTTGTCTCCACAATTTAAAACTATTAAGATCATCTCCAATGGGGAGTTCTTCCTCAAAATCTCTCAAAAAAATTAATAATAAAAAAAAATCAAAAAGTATGAAAGAGAGAAAAAAATTGTAAAACTCAAGTTTCATATGAAGATATCAATGCAACATGTCATATTTTTAGTGATAATTTTAGTTTTTAAAAATAAAAATTTAAGAACATAACTAAATAATATTAAAAATAGTGATATTTTTATTGATGATATATTCAAAAGAATTTTTCTCAGTTGGAGATGCTCTAAGCTAGAGGATGTCCCCATTAAATGCATCACACATCAATGCCATATTAGAAACCGATTGTTGGACTTCATATATTCACAAATTCAGTTTAAATCAATTACTAAGTTAAGTTACCATGGAACTATTAGTCTTATTTCTCCGAGAGGTTCACGTTTTCTCTAAACTTGTAGGCTCACCATTATTTGACGGCCGGTATTCTATGCCCGAGAGATTTTAATTTTTTTTATTTTCGACCCTAAGAATTAAATTCATTTCAAATTTTCAATTAACATTCAAAAAAAACATTACCTTGGAAAGGAAATATTGAAAACCATATAACCTTAAAACTACTCTTAGTTCTATTCTTCATCAAGTTATTCCAAAACTGCAAACGATCGGGATGTAACGCCTTGTGTTCTTAGTTTGTAACATATTTTGCAAAATCTAATTAGATGACAATCTTCCAAAACTTCGGTTTTCTTACGATATTGACCAATAGGTAACAAATATAGTCAGGATTTTGATTTAGATTAGAAAAAGATATGATTGAAAGATGGTTTTTATTCCATGGAACTTTTATTACAATAGAAACCACATGTTAAGCAAAATTATAGAAAAAACACAACAAATCAAGGGATCATCTATGTTAATTTAAAACAACAACAATATAGAGGTTGATGAGGAAAAAAAATACGACATCCTCCAGTCGAAAACCCCAATGTTATGCAGTCCACGCTGCATCTTAAATTCTCATATGATGGCGTACATGGAACAGTGCATTTTTGTTCTTTGATCGCTTTAATCTCTACACATATATGCACAAATTACATTTTCAAAAATTCAAATTCTTTGATAATATTCTCAAATTTCTCAATATTTTATTTATATATTGCTTTTAAATTTTTATATGATCACAGCTAACTAATTGCAATGAGTATTATGTATAAGAAAATACCTGAGGCCATAGCGTTTTGGGGGGGACATCGAAACGACCAATATAGCTACAAGAAACAAAGGTACTAAGATTTTTGTGTAACCCATTTTGTTGGTGTAAATTTCTATTGAAGTAAAATTTTGTACTTTTTAAGATCTTGAAAAAATCTTATTTATAGAAAAATTAATCTTAGAATTGAAAACATTACTCCTATTACTAATTTCCAAAAAATGATATTTTATTCAATTTTTCTATATTTTTACCATAAAGAGTTCTTTCATATTAGTCAATAACATCATATTTTGGGTAAAAAAAAAGTTGAAAAGGTTTTAAAATAAATATCTTGGGATCAAACACATGTATTGTTGTTGTTGTTTGTTTTACTTAAATGATATCTATATACATATCATTTTACTTACAAAACAATTTCAATACTTTATGTTGTTGTTTGTTTTCATTTATCTTCTTTCTATGTTTAGCATTTCATATTTTCCCCCAATGAACTAGATTATGATCCACATGATGTGCAGATTTTAATTCTAAATAAAATAAATTCAATTATCAGAATTATTAAATTTTTGTTGCAAGTAGAAACGACCTTTAGGAAATAAATGAATTTTTTTGAAGTTACAGAAAATTTATATTTATATACTGTATATCTTTTAGCTGTAATACACTAATTTGCATATATGTTTTAAATTTATTGTAACATTAAGAATAGAATCTCATAGATTTAAGTTTTCAGTCACCAAAATGTTTTCCGGATATTTATTATTACTATTGCTAAATCTCAAACACGTAATTTCTCAATCTCTTCTTAAAATATGATTACATTTACAAAAGTTCTTTATATATATTACATGGAAACGACCGGTCAAACTATGATCTTATTTACATCTATTTACAACTAAAATAAAATATCTTTGAATACATGAATCCAACTTCTATATGTTTCTTTTAGTTTAACTTTTGCATAATTTTCTTAACCACTAAATATCTAAAAAAATATTTGTATAGAAAATATATCAGATAGCATTAATTGATGATGTAATCATAAAAGAAAAACCCTAAGATACAAAGAAAATCTGTTTGCAATTAGTCTATAACCAACCAATAAAGATTGAGAATTTATTTTTAAAACAATATGTAAAAACAATGCTATTTGCAAGTCAATTAAAAAATAGACAACTCGAATGGAGCAAATAAAATGACAATGAAAAAGTACATGATATTTACTTATTTACCTATGATAAATAAAAATGAAAATTTTCACCAAAAAAAAAAAAATAAATAAAAATGAAAATAAAAGGCTCAGAATAATTGTGGATTTGATACATAAGCACTAATGACTCTCTTTTAATAAATACTAGAAGAAACAATGTATCTAAGTTAGTGAACTTGTATAGTTTTCCTATATTAATCTGTCAGTACATTGTCATAATTTATATACTATTGATTTTCACATCTTTTTAGCAAAAAACAATATATAGATTTTTACATCCTTTATCCGAAAAGATAATCAATCCTTTTTTTTTTAGTTTTAAAATTAAAAATTAAAAGTTATGTTTAATTTATAAAATCTTGCTTCCCAAAGAAGAAAAATATTTCTCACAAACCTTTAAAGTAAACATCCTCACCCATGGCTTCTACAACAAATCAAAGTTTCATTTTCATGCTAATCTTATTTCTCATTGTTCTCAAAACATCAGCATCATTCACCAATGGATTTTTACCATTAGCACCTAAACATGTTATTATCATTAACAAATTGATCTCACGTGCAACTATGACTGTGCATTGTAGAAACAAAGGGGACGATCTAGGGGTTAAAACACTTGCTCCTGGAGCTAGTTTTGATTTCAAGTTTCGTGTCAATTTTCGCAAGACGACGAGGTACACTTGCATATTTGAGTGGCCTAATAATACAGCAACGTTTGATATATTTAGAGTAGATAGAGACGACAATCCAAAGAGTAAATATGGAGTATGCAGAGAATGTATTTGGAGCATTTATGAGCTAACTCCTTGTCGAGATAGACGCGATGGAGGCCAACCTCAGTGTTTTCGTTGGAATTCTTAATCATTTTAAAAAATATTAGAGTTGGACCCGCGCTACAGCGCGGGGGAAAAGTTTTGATTTATTTATTTTTATTAACGAAAACATTAACCTAGTGAGAGAATTTTTTACTTGTGTTGATAATTTTTCATAATAAATAAATATTATTGATTAAATAATTGCAATTGGGAATGAGGGGTAATTATTCTGTTTTCATTAATTCATATAGTTTAAATTTTGGTGGTTACATAACTAATAATTTTTTTAATAATAAGTGTTCACTAAAAGTGAATAATTTTTCCATATAATTTGAAATCATATTTATGTAACATTTGGTATTACAAAATATTTGGTTATAAAACTGTGGTGTGTATTATATTCTGACCCGTTGTAAAATGATCAATAATTTTAATATATGTTCTGACCCGTTGCAAAACTATCAGTTAATATTTATAATATATAAAGTTTTTAATATTTATAATATTTTATACATTTTAAAATTTAACTATTATCATATTTTGAAGCATTTTAGAAAAAAAAATAATTTGCTCAAACTTAGAACCTGTTTTAAAATTGAATGTTTATTAAATGTATTTCCAATTAATAATTTTTGTTTGAAGTTTTATATGGGACACTGTAACCTTTAATATTTTGGTTTTATTTTTTAGGGAATTTAATGAAAAAAACCCTCAACATTGGCCGGATCCATTTTTAAACCCTCAACTATTTTTTTAGTAAATAAAACCCTGAACTAAAAAACATTAACAAATTTAACCCTCCGTCTATAAAAGCATACATTTATACCGTTAACAATTTCGTATACTCTAGAAGAACAGTAAAACGAAAACGACTAGGCATATTTTTAAACATATTACGATCACAACACAATTTTTCAATTATAGTATTCTGCAATTCCTGATGGAAAATATAAAATTTTCTCATATTTTATGCAAAATGCTTATTCTGAAACATATTTACAACAACAAACAAAAAAAAATGACTTACCACAATATTTTACAAAATTCAAACCAGATGAAATAGACGTATGTTCTCTCAATACCTCACTCCATAATGGAGACTCGATGAGTTAATGTCATCCATCATTGAATTTAATTATGCGTCTCACCCTCGATTAACTCTGTGTCAATCGCCTATTAAACCTACTTTAGTTTCTTTTTCACTAACCGTTCAACATTTGAAATTTTGAGGTTTTAACATTTCACGATTTGAGAGTTTTTTTGGTGATCTATTATTCGACGTGTGAACGTTATGGAAAACGAAGGTTCCTAAGAGAAGGTTTGTTGTTAATTTTTGTATTTAAAAACTAATGTTTAGTATTTTTTTGTTTCAGTTAAACAAACGTTGATTGCGTAGAAAAAATTATTACGGGTGTTTAGGTTTTTTATAGGTGGAGGGTTAAATTTGTTAATGTTTTTAGTTCAAGGTATTATTTACTAAAAAAATAGTTGAGGGTTTAAAAATTGATCTCACCAATGTTGAGGGGTTTTTTCATTAAATTCCCTATTTTTTATTTTAAATTTGATAATTAAATCATAACCTTTAATATTTGGAAATTTTTATTTTTTGGGAGAATATTTAATCAGATTTCCATATGATTAACAATAAAATCACAAAAATTACGGAATAATTTATTAATTAGAATACTATCGAAAGATTGAGATCTTTTTAGGTAATGATAAACATAATTTCCTTAAAATGTGCATTTGTTATTCACCATTAAGATTTAAATATTCACAATTAATTTGGATTTCTAAAATATACGTATGTATCATTATTATAGTTTCCTAAATAAGGGGAAGTTTTAGTAACTGATATTTTTAAAATTTTCGGATTTTAATAGTTAATGGGTAATATTATACCTGAATTTTGATCTAAAATTGAAGTATCCATCATTGTAATTTCGGGTTATTTTTTGTTTTTGACCCGACCCGGAAGTGCATTTGTACTTCTGTTTTACTATAGTAGGGATTTAAGTTTTATTACTAGTAATTAAATCAAATATTTAGTGTTTATATTTGTGATTATGTATTTGTTAGTTTATCTTAAATTGGAAGTCATGGTATCTTGTGTTTTTTGGCATATAGTTGTGCATATACATTTGCATTTGTGATTAGGTTCATTTGCATATGAAGGAAAAGGAGGTGGAATGAAGCAAATAGATGAAGGAGAGATCAAAGAGTGGAGAGAAAAATGAACTAATTGATTGATTTAAGACTGAAGCCACAAGACAACCTAATCGATTAACATGTCTACTGGAAGAACAACACGATCATGGACAAGAGATCACACGATCGATCAATTAAAACTATAAGGGACTGATCAACCAGAGACTACCTTCCCAAAGTGAATATGGTCTACAATTCAAGAACTCTCACATCTAGTATTATTTTTTTGACATCTAAACATAAATCATTCCAATTAAAACTCATAACTTTGAAACAAACACAGATTAAGATGTTCAAAAATACCAAAATTTCCTATTTATTATTCTTCAAAACGGCCATTCGATTATTTTGTTCGATCTATATAATAGCAAACTCACTTTTAGGGACAGCTGATTTCATATTTTGATTTTAAGCCAATTGATAAAACTGTATTATCATAAAAGGTATGATGTGATTTTCAATGGCCACAACATTATTCTCAAAATCACCACCACATCCTTCTTTGAGATATATTGATTCCTTCCGAATTAAAACTTTCAACTCTTATCTTGTCAATCCTTTATAAGAGTGTTTTGGGCTTAGACTATGTTAGTTAATAATTTAATTAACATTGAGAATCACTTAAGGAATGATACGATAATAAGCATATGGGTAGCAACATCATAACCTTTAACCACTCTTCCCATTATAATTCATACTTTTAATCATTCTTTATAATGATGGAAATAACTTTTATATGACTTGTCTCATTAGCCTCTCTAAAATTTTAGGGTCATGAAATGGATTCTAATTAACAATCAAGCTTTAGCTATTTAATTAACTTCAATGGGTAGCTCGATGATCTTGTAATTGGAAAACATGCAAAGAAACCAAATTCAATATTCTTGACTGATCTTTACGATCTATCTACAACATTTGATCCAAGGCTTAAAGACAAACGAATCAGAATCTCTAAAATGGAATAATACATATCAACAAACAAACAAATTTTTTGCTGAAGGTGATATAAAAGTTGTGATCCATGTTTGAATTAATTTATTCAATCTGGTTGCTTTAAATTTTAAAATGTAAACTTCTAATGACTTCATCTGGATATATAATCATAAGTAGCTAATACATATACATGCATGATCAAGAATATTCATCTTAGTCATTTTCCGTTCGGCTAGGAGCTTTCAAATAAAGAAATTTGGATTTTAGGAGAATTATGCATTTCGGTCCGAACCTCGTAGTTAAAAAAAAAACAAAAAGAGAAAAGAATATTTGTCTTGTATATGATATATTGTCTCTTTTCTAGTAAATATCAAAGCATACAAACCAATGGAAGATTTGACATTTTAGATGTAGTAGTAGTAACAAGGTGAGATATAGAATAGTTATGACAAAAACATTTGATTCTGCTGTACTAAAACGCAACCTTGGCAGAGTGATATATCATAGGGAATGTGGTTCTGATCCTTTTTGGCCTCTTAGCTGGTTAGTGTGGTGGTGCCTCATGAGGTAATACTGTTTGTTCTCCATAGATGGTCCAATATCTTCTCATATATGACAAATTTATTTAGTCTCGATTCTTTCAAAAGAAAATTTTAGTTTTTGTTTGCATTTAATAAAAAATTCTCAAACATTTTTGGTTTTTAAGAATATATATATATATATATATTTGTTATATATGTGTTTTGAGTGCATCAATATTTGCAAATTGTAATTAGTTTAAATTCGTTAAGAATGATCCTATTTTTGTGTGTGAAATAATAGAAGTCTCTTGTTGTTTTCGTTAACAAAGTTCATTTATTGTCAACAACATACAATAGAAGTACATAAACATTGAAGAGATTAATTGACAAGTGCTTTAGAAACTTTACAAAGCCAAAAAGTTCTTAAGAGCACCCACATTGGTGAGGCTCTCAAATGTGAATTCCCAACTTATTTATTTAAATTTAAATACAAAAAGAAAAACTAAACCTGTAACAAGTAGACATGTCTCATAAGAGTTTCTCATGAGTATTTCATAGTCTCTCATTTCTCTCTATATGAGAACTCATAAGTCATAACCTCTTTTTGAGATACTCATCTCTCCTTCTCTCCTATTTTTTCCATTTTTTCTTTATTTTTATTGTTGAGATATCCATTGAGTATTTACCAATAGAAGTGGTCTAAGACCATTATTAAAGGCATATATGCCAAGATGATGCTTAAAAATAATAAGGTAATTTAATAATATAAAAGTTAAGTTAAAATAAAACATTATTTATTTACAAAAATTCAGAGCCAATCACTACATGCCACATGTGTTAAGCACCTTGTCAAAAACTTCTTATGCAACGTCCGATTACTTCTTATGAAAACACTCTATTATTACTTTTTGGTTTTTTTAAAGAGATAAGAACCAAACTGATATGCTGTTAATGATGCCCTAATGATTTAAAATGGGTCTAATCAGGTTTTTGATATTTTGGATTTCCTTTTTTTTTAAGCCTAAATATTTCTTTAATTTGTTTTTTTTGGTTGTAGAAAGTATTTTTTTCTAAAGTCTATAATTTTTTTCTTGTTAGGTAGGTTGGATTGGTAAGTTAAGTTTAGTAGCCCTGTTTAGTTGGTTTGAGTAGGAAACCCTAGTTTTTCCTTTTAAACTCGAAAAAATGTCTCGTTCTTTTCCTAGTTGTGATTTGTCGTTCCTAGGGAAATAAGAGAAAGATAAAGTTAGCTTCTTGTGGTTCGAGAAGAAAAAGAGGAGGCTAGAGTGAGGTTTGAGGAGAAAGAGGGTTGAGTTTTGGTTATTACAATGGAAGGAGAAGGACATCAAAGCGTGTTAGTGGCTTTTAGGACGTTGTTGTGGCT